AGCAATTAAAGATAGAACTAATGTATGACCCAGTTTTTGACTCCTGGCCATATCCCTAGAGAACCCCATACCCCCAATAGAGATATTTATACCTGATATTTACTACTGCTTATTCAAAAAAAGAATAAGGACATTAGTTTATTTATTTATTTGTTTGTTTATTTATTTATTATATACACAGTGTTCAGCCTCCATGTATGCCTGCAGGCCAGAAGAGGGCACCAGATCTCATTACAGATGGTTTGTTTGTTTGTTTATTTATTTATTTATTATGTTCACAGTGTTCAGCCTCCATGTATGCCTGAAGGCCAGAAGAGGGCACCAGATCTCATTACAGATGGTTTGTTTGTTTGTTTATTTATTTATTTATTTATTATATACACAGTGTTAAGCCTCCATGTATGCCTGAAGGCCAGAAGAGGGCACCAGATCTCATTACAGATGGTTGTGAGCCACCATGTGGTTGCTGGGATTTGAACTCAGGACCTCTGGAAGAGCAGTCAGTGCTCTTAACCTCTGAGCCATCTCTCCAGCCCCGAATAAGAACATTGGAATAATAACATTGGAATCAACCAAACTGTCTATCAACAGATGAATGGATAATGAAATGGTATATACTATGAAGTACCATTCACCTGAAGAGAAAAATTAATAATAACATGCAGGAAAGCAGTTGGACTTAGAATGCGTAATAGTTAGTGAGGTCATACAGTGTCAGAAAGAAATCATGTTTTCCCTCATATGCAGAATTTGCCAATGAAATGTCATGTGGGCACAGTACAACAAGGTAAGTAAAGTTAAATATCAATACTGAGGTAGAACTGGATGCAGACAATGAACATAAGTTATGAAAAAGGATATAAAGCCGAGTGCTTTTCTAGCTCTAACACTGTCACAGTTTTGGTTTTTGATGGTAGATAAGTACAACAACTATATTGGATATTAAAACTATAAAATCCCATGTGAGGCTCCAGAGCGTCTGTTCGCAGTGACTACTCTAACTGTACAAAAGTACATTGAGTTGTACAGTGGGCCTGCTTAATTTCAACATGTGATTTTTGTGTTTGTTTATTTTTATGTTTGTAATTTTTCATGGGAAAGCTAAAAAAAAAACAGTCAGAAGCAGAAAATGAAAGGCTTCAAAGTATATCAAACTACAACATTTCCATAAAAATAGGAGGACATGACTACTGACCTGGGGCACGTTTATTGGAGAATCGGCCATTCCTTTATGTTTCTCTTTTTTGAGTTTCTCTTTCAGGAACAATGAGTAGATGGCTTGCTGCCCTTTCACATTAAGGGGTCAAAAAGAAAAACAAAATTAATACTGAAAGAGGTTACAAAACAATGTCAAACCACATGAAAAGATTCAAGAAACAGAATACGACCAGATGTCTTCACCATGATCCAAAACCCAGGAGAGCATGGAGCGAGAGGTAGGGCTTGTAAAGAAAATCACCACCAACAGCACTGTTGCACACAGAAAAATTCTATCTTACAATCGAGGAACACATGAGTGCATTTTAGGACAGTTATGAATTATCACAATTGATTTCATGAATGCAACACTGCAGATAATAAATTACAGGCAGAACATACACAGAAGATTCAGAGGAATTAAAAGGGAACATGGGAAATAAATTTCAAATGAAGAATAGATAAATACCAGAGAACTGGGAAGTAATCATCCATAGGCAAGGCAGCAAAGCATTCTCACAGAAAAGGAAGAGGAATACTATGAATAATTCAACCAGAAACAGCATCAAAAAAGGAAAGAAAGGAAGGAAGGAAGGAAGGAAGGAAAGAAGGAAGGAAAGCAAACAAGCAAGCATAGGGAATAAAATCCTTATGAACAAATAATTTAGGTGCTCTAGAAATCAATATGGAAAACCCTCAATTAAATCAACAAATTCTCAAGTTAATGAATTTAGCACATGACCCAGATAGTCCACTCCTTGGCATATGCTCAAAGGACTTGACATCCTACTCCACAGATACTTGCAAGCCATGCTCATTGCTGATCTACTCACAATAGGTACAAAATGTCCTTCAACGGACAGGGAGAGTGAAAATATGATTCAGCTGGAAAGAAAACTGAAATCATGAGCTTTGCAAGTAATTGGATGGATGCAGATAAGAGCATTTCAAGTAAGGTATTCCTGACAGAGAAAGACTAACATTGCATATTCTCTCTCATAGGAAGTTCCTAGCTCCAAATCTTTAGATTTGAACACACAACTTGGAGTGATGCAGTAAAAAGAAAGCACTATGAGACGTGTGGGTATTAATAGTTGGGAATAACAGGGAGCAAATGATCTAAAGGGGGAAATGGAAACAAAAAAAAACTGCTTCTAATACATAAGTCTGTACATGCAGATACATTTAGAATGAAAACAAAAACCATATCTGGGCTGATGATGCTCCTCACAAGAGCCAGAGATTTTCATACAAAACCACCAAAATCAGGCAGGACACATGCTTTTGTAGTTTGTTTTGGACCGGCCTTGACAAAAATACCTCTTACCAGGTAAAGGCATGGGGATTTAGAAACATAGTAAAGAATATGAAGATGCAAATGAAAATAGCAAAATGGAGAAACATATAGCATAGTATCAGGAGGGAATTCCAGTGAGTACTGAAATTTGCCAGCATTTAATTTCCAATTGCTTAAAATACTCCTGACCCTAAAAGGCAGGAATAGGACAAAAGACTGCATTAACATGATACAAGGAAATGAACAGACCAATTGAAGATCGTTGGCTACATTCATAATTAAACATTTGGTTGCTAGAACAAGTCATGTTCAATCCCTAGACCAAAGCATTCTGTAGGCAAACCACTCCCTGGGTGGGATCCATTGGGAAATGAATCTTAGTTGGATCCTTAGACTTCTGTTTGAGGTAGAACAGATCTACTTCGCTATTCCTGGAGTAGGAGGTCTGGCTATATTAGCCACACCTATTGAGGACAATAGCCTTGAGAGAACAGAACTCTCTGACCTTTGGTAAATGTGGAAACAGGCTCACATTTTCAGGTCTCCACTCTCCTCCCTCTCCTTCTCTGATCTACATCAAAGGTGGGACCTTTGTTTGAGGTGGAAGCACAATAACCTTGAAGGAATTAGAGCTAAGTTCCAACTCCCTGTCCTTTGGTTAATGTGAAAATAGGCTCACATTTCAGGCCTCCACAGTAGTTGTTGGTCACTGATGTCCAAGATACTCAATTCATTATAGGCTACTGCTGTTATCCAAGTTTGCCTCCCAGAGGTAGCTGAGTTCCTACTTTTGAAGACGCCATATATTTTGGACAAAAAAACCCAGAGGACTCAAGATAACTACCTAAACCTCCTCTCTGGGAACTAGCTTTCATTGTATCAGAAGGCAACAAGCATCCTTTCAAAGGTGGGAGTCAACCAACAGTCCTAGCCAGCTATGACATCTATGAACCACAACAATGATCTGCACTGAACGATAACCCTAAAGCAGCAAGTACAGCACAGAAACCTTCATGGTAAGCACAGCTTCAAATTGGATTTAAGACCCTCTCAACAAAAGGGAAATCATGCCTGGCACTGGAAACTTAGCTAGTTTCCCTAGGGTTACTGAAGTCAGGGATCTTCAAAGAGAACCTACAAGCACTGCTTTACTAAATCAAAATAGTTCCTAACTGCATAAATATTTTCTTTACTCCCAAAGATTAATGTAATCCTAACTCATCAAGGGAAGTTCTTTTTCAGTCAAAATGCAGACTTGTGATGCTCAGTCCCCACTGACACATAAGCAATACAATTACCTTTACCTCAGGGTCAGGGTTCACTGAGAAAGAGGCAGGAATGTTGTAAGAGCCAGAGAAAGAGGACATTTGCTGTGATGCTGTGTCTCCTAGAAATATCAGAGAAGCTACAAGCATCAAATCTTACAAAATGGCTGCCTTAATCGAGTGCTTGGATTAAAGGCGTGCGCCACCAGCGCTCCGGCTCCTATGGTTAACTAGTGGCTTTTGAACTCCAGGCAAGCTTCATTTGTCAGAACACAGACAAAATATACTTCACAATTCTATTGCATAGTTTATAGAAAGTAATAAATACTGAAAGTACCAAGAAACAATAGAGAGCCAGAAAATACTAGGAGGATCAAACTTAGAGGTAACCTCTACAGCACATTTATATGACATTTACAGCAGTGGAAAGCACCTGGAATTGTCATGACTACAGACAATAGGAGATATCAACGGGAAGACAGTAGATGGACTGTAACCTTCTGTAAATATATACTTCCATTTTCTTTTCTTTTCTTTTTTTAAGTTTATGGAGACAGAGTTTTTCTGCGTATCTCTGGCTGACATAGAACTTCAGAGTGGCCTGAAACTCAGAGATCTGCCTGCCTCTGCTTCTGAGTGCTGGGATTAAAGGCGTGCACCACCAAGCCTGGCCACCATAGCTCAATTTCTTTTCTGGATTTTTCCAGCCTCGTCTACAGAGCTAGTTCCAGGACAGGCTACAAAGTCACAGTGAAACCCTGTCTCGAAAAACCAAAAAAGAAAAAAAAAAACCCAAAAAACTCGATACAGGGTTTCTCTGTATAGTCTTTGCTGTCCTGGAACTCACTGAGATCCACCCGCCTCTGCCACTTGAGTGCTGAGATTAAAAGGCCTGGGCCAGCCGGGCGGTGGTGGCGCACGCCTTTAATCCCAGCACTCGGGAGGCAGAGGCAGGCGGATCTCTGTGAGTTCGAGACCAGCCTGGTCTACAAGAGCTAGTTCCAGGACAGGCTCCAAAACCACAGAGAAACCCTGTCTCGAAAAACCAAAAAAAAAAAAAATAAATAAATAAAAAATTAAAAAAAAAAAAAAATAAAAAGCCTGGGCCACCACTTACTTTCATTCTTATCAAACTCAGTTGGCATTATTTTCAGGAACGGAGATAAAACACTAAAAGGCAGAGAACGTGGCTAGAAACCAAGGCTCAAATTTATTGTGTAATAAAGCATTTCTTTCACCATTTTATAATTTATTAAAGTCATACATGAAAACCAATTAATATGATGACATGCTATGAAGGGAATGACAGCAACACTCAATGTATAGCGAAATACAATTTCATTTGCCTCCTAGTGTCAATTCTTCCTCAGAACCTCTTCTCAAACCTATAATAGGATAATTGTGAGGAGATTTTTCTCAGTGCAAGTCTCCCAAATTCTTTCTAGTGAAAGAAAATGTGACAAAACTGATCTCATGTCCCATTTCCACATGAACCCCTTACCACTCTTTCACCAATGCCTCCACCATACCTGGATCCTTAGCTACGGTCTCCTCTCTCCTTCCAGGTCTCCTTGTTCTGCTGCAGAGGTGAGCAGGTCTGGGTGATCAGCAAGCCCTGTAATTAAGAAAGAGATTGTTCAGAAAGCATCTGGATTCCTAAAACAGTACTGTGCTCAGTAGATGAAGGATGAAGAGAGGATTCTACAAATGAGTCCAAGTGTCCTGCAATGTCAGAGTACTGGAAACATTCAGAAAGCATTTTCAGTTAGCGTAACTTGAATGCCCCTTCCAGTCACAGCTGAGTCAGAAATCAGTGGTAGAAATGAAACTGAATGGGGGCTGAAGAGATGGCTCAACGGTTAAGAGCATTGCCTGCTCTTCCAAAGGTATTTTTTTTTTTTTTTTTTTTTTTTGGTTTTTCAAGATAGGGTTTCTCTGTGGTTTTGGAGCCTGTCCTGGAACTAGCTCTTGTAGACCAGGCTGGTCTCGAACTCAAAGAGATCTGCCTGCCTCTGCCTCCCAAGTGCTGGGATTAAAGGCATGCGCCACCACCGCCCGGCTTCCTCCAAAGGTCTTGAGTTCAATTCCCAGCAACCACATGGTGGCTTACAACCATCTGTAATGAGGTCTAGTGCCCTCTTCTGGCCTGCAGGCATACACACAGATAGAATATTGTATACATAAATAAATAAATAAATACATATTTAAAAAAAGAAATGAAACTGAATGATTGGGATGAGGTTCTGAATTCATCACAGACCCAGGGCGATTGAAGCCTCACACATCCCAAAGGGAAACACACAAAGAAGGAACATTCCTTGAAATTTTTTTTCCCCTCTGAGGATTCCTCTTTATTCTGTGAGATGTGAGACTCATTCAAACTCTTGCACAAAGCTCACACACTTGCAGATTAGTTTGTTCAGAAACCCCAAGAAACAAGGGAGACTACAAGCAAACAATTCTCTCCCAGAGAAACCAGACCTCTGTATTCTGTGGCATCCAGTACCAGTACAAAGCCTTCTCAGCAGGCTTCAGGCATCGCTCCTCCTGTTGGGAAAAGTCCAGTCTCAACACTGGCTGTCTAAAGACCACAAAGTAAAAAACAAAAGTTTGAATTATTGTGTAGGGGCACACCTTTAATCCTAGCTCTCAGCAGGCAGAGGTGGGTGGAACTCTCTAAGTTCTAGGTCCAACATGTCCCACAGGATGAATTTTTGGCCAGACACTGAGTTCAGTTCTCAAAGAAGCAAACACAAGAACCAAAACAAAGAAAAAAGAAAAACCAACAGTTTGGTCGGCCATGTGTCCATGGGCCGTGTGCTTTTCTAGAACCAAGGAGACAGAAGACTATTCTAGACATTATTCTGATGTAGATGAGTCATTTTCCTTTCCTTCCTTTTTCTTTCTTTTTTTTTTTTTTCAAGACAGGGTTTCTCTTTGTAGCCCTGGTTGCCCTGAAACTTGCTCTGCAGACCAGACTGGCATTGAACTCACCTGACTCTCTAAGTGATGGGATTAAAGGCGTGTGCCACCACCACCCAGTTTATAATGCCTTTTCTAACTGTGAGAATACTGACACCCTCAAACAGCATACTGTGCTTTCCAGACTCCAAGATGCAACACTACCAACTCAGCATTAAAAGATACATTTTGCATTTTGTTTTCTTTTGTTTTTCTTTCTTTTTCGTTTTTTTTTTTTTTTTTGAGAGGGTCTCACCATGGAGCTAGCTATGTGTGTCCTGGAACTCACTATGTACACCAGGCTGGTCTCAAACTTACTAGATTGACCTGTCTCTGCCTCTTGAATGCCGGTATTCGAGGCCTGTGCCACCAAGTCTGGCAAAGACACTTTTCAGAATGCTGTGGTTACATCAGAGCACATAACATCAGATAAAAATTTACTGATAAAAAGTGTGCTTTTAAATGTTAATGCTTACAACCATACTTGAGCTTGAAAATAAATTTATTTTCAGATTCTACCAAATCTGCAAGAATTCCTTTGAGGACTACTATCTAAAAAAAAAGGATGTTGGCTCCTCAGGTCCAGGTACCACGCTCCTGAATATATAAATGGTTTAACAGGGAAATTAGCATGGATGAATGTAAGTTTCAAGAGCTTTGTGCTTTCCACCATAACAAAGGGAATCAAGTTTGCAAAATCAATCATTCTACTAGAGTTTTTTGTTTTGTTTTGTTTGGTTTGGTTTTTCAAGGCAGGGTTTCTGTGTAGCTTTGTAGCCTGTCCTGGAACTAACTCTTATAGCGCAGGCTGGACACGAACTCACAGAGATCCGCCTGCCTCTGCCTCCTGAGTGCTGGGATTAAAGGCGTGTGCCACCACTGCCTGGCGCCAAACTGTTCTTTTTTATAAAAAAAAAATATTTATTTATTTATTTTGTATGCAATATTCTGTCTCTGTGTGTTTGTAGACCAGAAGAGGGCAGCAGAGCAGACCTCATTACAGAATGTTGTGAGCCACCATGTGGTTGCTGGGAATTGAACTCATGACCTTTGGAAGAGCAGGCAATGCTCTTAACCACTGGGCCATCTCTCCAGCCCCCGCCAAACTATTCTTATAAGAATACTCTATCCGGACGGTGGTGGAGAACACCTTTAATCCCAGCACTCGGGAGGCAACGGCAAGCAGATCTCTGTGAGTTCGAGGGCAGCCTGGGCTACAAGAGCTAGTTCCAGGGCAGGCTACAGAGAAACCCTGTCTCGAACCTCTTCCCCCACCTCCCACCCCCCCCCCCCCACCCAAAATAGTTTGGCAACCAGAAGGATCGACCAATTGATTTTACCTAAAATTTACCGACAAGGGAAGAAATTTACAGGACAACTTCAGAACCAGCTTCCTTATGAACAGCAGGGAAACTGCTCGCACCCCTGGTCCCTTCCCTGCTGGGTCCCAGCCCCGCAGCTCCTCTGACATGGGAGACTCCCGGGCGCCGGGCTGCGGTTTCCGCCACTGCGCTGCTGACTTTCCCAGGCCGTCCCGCGGCGACTGCGACTCCGCGGAGTTTTCGCGTCCCCGCGACACCCAGGTCTGCACACGTGACTCTCCACGGTTGAGGAACGACAGCGAATGGGTCCTCTGCGCCGCTGACTTTCCCTCAGCAGTCCACTTCCCGGTCCTTACCCACGAGGTTTCCCAGCTTCCGCTTTCGTCACTCCTCTAAATCTGCCCATGCGCCACTCTTCCCCTACATCCAGCCAATGAGTCACATTCTCTCATTTACTGTTTCCGTTCGCAGTCCGTCTATCCCCCTCCCCTACATCGAACGGTCCCGCCCACTCCGCCTCAGGCTTCCTTCCACTCAGCTCCGGCTGTCAGGCTGCCCTGGACCCGCCCTGCACGGCCTCCCCACAAGCTTGCTGCCAGCCGAGAGCAGATCTGGATTTAGTAGGAGTCTGCTCTCCATATCCGACTCTCTTATCCGGAGTTTTGACCACTCAGTGTTGAATTTGTTCAGTCTAATGCCTCATTATGGGATTTCAGTTCCTGGCCTATAAACGCATACAGGAAAAAAAAAAAAAAAGCACCCAAAAACAAAATGCTAGTTTCCATAACACAAACTACGATGAAATATTGCTCCCCCAAATTTCCATGACTGTGTCCTCTAAGGAGACCAAAGTACATAAAATATGAGAAACAGAAAACACACACACACACCACACAGAAGTATTCTAAATAAGGTCAAAGTACTTAAAGAGGAAGCAAGCTCCTGAAGTCAATGAGGACAGGATTGAAGTGATTGGAGGGCAAGAAAACACAAGCAAATGGCTTGTCCTCGAAAAATAAGGGTAATTCAACCTACACACCCTTTAATCCCAGCACTTGAGAGGGAGGCCGAGGCAGGAGACTCTCTGTGAGTTCAAGGCCAGCCTGCTCTACAAGAGCTAGTGAAACAAGAAGTGGAAAACACAATAAGCATAATCAATGAAAAGCTTCCACACCAGACTAGATCAAGAAGGAGACAGAAGATCAGGGTTTGTAGACAAGATAAGAGGATCTGTATCACTTTGTCACGTAAGATGAAAAACTAGAAAAAAAATCAGATGCCTCGTGCAGGCAGCACTAGTAAAATGTGAACTTCTGCATTGATATAAAAAAATGCAACTTCTGAATTGATATAAAACATTATAAAACTTGATGTCAGTAACTATTGCCTTGGAGAGCATTTCTGGGAAGTTTGATAATCATTTCCTTCATGATGCAAATGCAGTGTCACTAAGAGCCACCTTTATCCCGCCCTCAAAGTTCTCCACCATTAACAGTCAAAAAGCTGGAATCCCATGATTAGCAACATCATCAACACTGAGTGGGAAAGATAGTTCAGGAACTCTGGACGTCCAAGGGAAATAGGTGACAATGCAAGCTGCCAGTCTAAATACTACTGGCAGACAAACAGCACTTGACTTCATCCTATGCTGTACTGCTTTTACCAATACTTAATGATCTTATCATTTTGTTAACTGACAAATGAATTTGTCTCCAGGAAATCATTTACTGATGCTTTTGGATAAAACAGAGACGTTCCTTTTGAAAACGCAGTGGTGAATGCAGACTTGTGGCTATCCCAGACGCAGAAAATAAGTAAGGTGTGTGAGCTCAGCCCTGAACAAGTCAGTTATACCTTCTCATTTATGGCCCTGGGAACATGGAGGAGAAGGAAGAAAGCGAATAAGGGAGCGAGGAGGAAGGGCTAAGCCATGTCATTCTCTAGACTCCACACAGCTGTTGCAATCAGTAGCCCAGAGAAATTGTACTCAGCTACACTGGCCTCACATAAAATCAGTCCAGTCATAATCAGTCTAGGAAGTTTTACCTCTCCGATGTTGGCTATATAAATAGTCTTTGTGGGCTGGGCAGCGGTGGCGCAAGCCGTTAATCCCAGCAGTCAGGAGGCAGAGGCAGGCAAATCCCTGTGAGTTCAAGGCCAGCCTGGTCTACAAGAGCTAGTTCCAGTCCAACGAGGATGGTTACACAGCGATACCCTGTCTCGAAAAACCAAAAAGAAGGCTTTATGAAAATAATTTGTTAGCTGTGTATGTTCTCTTGAGCACCCACATGCTCCAACAAAAATCTTCAAACACAGTTTCACACATGGCCCTTGCTGGTATCAGTGGGCCTGCATAGAAAATGAATGGATATGAACAGCAGCACAAGATTTGTTGGGGGTATGATTCTGGGTTGTAGGAAGGTAAAAGTGGGTGGCATACTTCTGTAAGTGAAACTGAAATAGAATTTTTTTAAAAGAACAAATGACTGTAATTTCTTTCTCTTTATTTCTTCCTTCCTTCCTTCCCTCTCTCCTCCTTGCTTGAAATCAGAGAAATCTGCCTGTCTCTCCATCACAAGTGCTGTAATCAGCTGGGCGGTAGTGGCACAAGCATTTAATCCCAGCACTCGGTAGGCAGATGCAGGTGGGTCTCTGTGAATTGGAGGCCAGCTTGTTCTACAAGAGCTAGCTCCAGGACAGGCTCCAAAGCTACAGAAAAACCCTGTCTCAAAAAAACAAAAACAAAAAAGTACTCTAATCAAATATGTGTGCCTTCACAATTATTAGAAATTAGAGTCAAACTCCAATTTCATTTTTAGTTGCTTTTTAACTAGTTTTGGTGTCAGGTAATACTAGCTTCATTCATAGTCCAGGCACCTCCGTTCCTTTTCTACATCAAGTAGATTCAGTACTGGTTATTCTTTGAAGATCTGGGGAGAATTTTGTGGTGCTCAGTCTGCTACTGGTCTTTTTTTAGGGAGGGTCAAGGAAAGAAATTTATTACTTCTTCCATCTCAGAGCTGCTTATAGATCTGTTTAAATTGTTTATTTCTTCCTGGTTTGGTTTTATTATGTTGTAAATATCTGGAAATGCATTCACTTCTTTTAAGGTTTTCAAATTAGTTGAAAATGAGTCTTTTAAGTCATTAGACATGAGATCCCCACATACACTCACATCTTCTAGGCAAAGTTAGCTTGGGTACTTGTCAAGACATGACTGGAATTATCTGGCGTGAGTGAGAAGGAAACACGGAACACACAAAAAACACATTTAAAGGTTTGTTAGAGCGAGCATGTACAGATCTCGGGATGTCAGTGTGCAGAGAGAGAGAGAGAGAGAGGGAAGGAGGGAGGGAGGGAGGGAGGAAGAGAGAGAGAAAAAAAGAGAGAGAACCCAGCTCTTAAAAGCTGCCTAGGGTTGGAGAGATGGCTCAGCGGTTAAGAGCATTGCCTGCTCTTCCAAAGGTCCTGAGTTCAATTCCCAGCAACCACATGGTGGCTCACAACTATCTGTAATGAGGTCTGGTGCCCTCTCCTGGCCTGCAGGGATACACACAGACAGGACATTGTATATATACACAATAAATAAACAAATATTAAAAAAAGGGGGGGGAGAAGGGTGGGAGAAGGGGGAGAAGGGTGGGAGGAGGGGGAGAAGGGTGGGAGGAGGGGGAGGGAAATGGGAGGCTGGGAGGAGGTGGAAACTTGTTTTTTTTTCACCTTTTCTCAATAAAAAAATGGAAAAAAAAAGAAAATCAAGATTAAAAACACCTTACTACACACACACAAAAAAAGCTGCGTAGTGCATACGCACATCTGTCGTGTCCACATGATGGTGCTCATACATGTGCACAAGGGCTTAGCTGAGTCAAACATGTATGATGCAACCACTCATGTACATGGATCACTTGGGGGCCCTTTAATATCCATGGGGCCATTAGTTATATAGGTATTAAGAATTATAGATCAATAGCCATCTATGTTTGTCATAGTTAGACTAATCAGGTTCTTTAGATACATTGAGATTATATTCTGCATAGATAGATAATCTTCAACCACTTCAAATAGCTGTAGAAAATGGCATTTAAATCACTTCTGTTGAAGTGAGACATGATTGCTCCTGGCAGCACCTCTTGAGTCTCAGCAACAATGAAATTACCTGGCGGGAGTGAGAAGGAAACATGGAACACACAATAAATCCACTTAGGAGTTTATTAGAGGGGCTGCTTACAGGCCTTGGGATCAGTGTGCAGAGAGAGAGAGGAAGATGGCACATTCAGCTTTTTTTTTTTTTGGTTTCTTGAGACAGGGTTTCTCTGTGGCTTTGGAGCCTGCCCTGGAACTAGCTCTGTAGACCAGGCTGGTCTCGAACTCACAGAGATCCGCCTGCCTCTGCCTCCCGAGTGCTGGGATTAAAGCCCTGTGCCACCATCGCCTGGCTCAAATTCAGCTTTCAAAAGATGCCTAGCACATGTTCACAGGGGGTTGGCACGATTATGTCACATGCTGATGACACAGATAACAAACAACTCACGCATGCACACAAGGATTTAGCTGAGTCATACGTGTATGTAACCACTCATGGGTGCACTTGGGTCTTGCGGTGGGGGGCCTGAGGACCCGTCTGCACGTGCTCGCCTTTAGAACCCAGAAGTGCAGCCTTACCTGTGGCTGAATAATTTCAACAGGGTGTGTGTAGCTTTGGAATACGTCCTGGAACTCTGTAGACAAGGTTGGCCTTGAACTCACAGAGACTGCTAGGATTATAGGCGTGTGCCACCACCACCTGTCTCAATGATCATATTTATGGAAGAAAAAAATAACACTTTCTGACATAGAACTTAACATATAACATTTCCTTATATAGAATATTTAGCAAAAAAAAAAAAAAACCAAACAACCCATGAGTTGTGCAATGTATTACATTGAGAAGAAAGAGAAAACACTAATTTAGTCAATATTATTTCTTCTACTTTTACCAATATTATTTAGGGAATGATCATTATTGCCTAAATTTTTTTTGGCTTAGATAATGAACAAGAGTTAAATGCTTCTGTCTAGACCACGTTCAAAATACATGGACAATTGCAACTAATGACTTCAGAATTATTACCTTAACAGCAATAATGATATAATCTTGTACATATATTCTTATTCATTTACCTTCCAGGAAGACTTAACTTCAGGCTAATTAATGGTTGCTTTGGAAAGAATTTAGGTTTGAATTTCTGAACCTCACTGGTAATGACCTTAATGTTATATTTCTTTGGCATCTATTTTTACAAAAAGGTTTATTTATAAGTATTTACATGTATATAATATGGAGTTATAGATATGTTTATTTTTCAAGT